GCGGACTCCAAATCCTTGGTCTCGTCACCGCGGTCCACGGCGTCAACATTCCTAAGGAGCCTGCGACAGTTCAGCAGGCTCTGGGGGGGGAGCATAAGGAAAAATGGCGCGAAGCCATGGACAAGGAGCTGAAGGAATAAGAGGAACGCAACACCTGGAAAGTCGTTCCCATCGGTGTAGCGCGAAACAAGACCATTCTTACCGGGAAATGGGTCTTCCGTGTGAAGACGAAGGCCGACGGCACCATCGACAAGTTTAAAGCACGATGGGTCGTTCGCGGCTTTGACCAGGAACATGGACGAGACTTCACCGAAACCTTCGCTCCGGTCAGCCGCCACACTTCACTTCGAATTCTTCTCGCCATCGCCGCTATGAAGAAAAAGAAACTGCGCCAAATCGACGTCGCAAACGCTTTTCTCTACGCACCGGTCGATGCAGAGATTTTCGTGGAACTACCGCACGGCTCCAACACAAATTCCACGCACGTCTGCCAGCTACTAAAATCGCTTTACGGGATCAAGCAGGCACCGCGACTGTGGCAGCAGTACCTGCATACTCGTCTCATCCGCATCGGCTTCAAACAACTCCCGCACGATCAGGGCATGTACCGCCTCACGAAGAACAGCGACTACATCTTGCTAATTGTCTACGTGGACGATCTTCTCTACATCGGCTCTACCGACAGCATCACCACCTGGTTCGAAGGGGAGCTGCAGAGGGACCTCACCCTCACTGTCTCATCTACCGTCACACAGTATCTCGGACTTAACATTCGAGAAGATAACGACGCGATCTACCTCAGCGCCGAAAAGTACGCCGACGCCATCGCCAAACGATTCGGAATTACGCCAGCCGCGATTTCAACACCATACCGCTACACGACAGGAGCCGATAAGGAATCTACCCCACTTAAATCCGCCGGCATACGCAACTATCAGAGGAAGCTAGGTTGCCTTCTCTTCGCAGCCGTCACTTGCCGACCCGACCTATCCTACTCCGCAAGCCAGCTCGCCACTTATCTCAAGAAGCCTGAAGCAGAACACCTGGCGGAACTTGACCGCGCTCTGCACTACTTTATCAGCACCGCAATGATCGGCTTAACTTATCACAAGAACGCAGCTACACCAACCAAGCTAATCGGCTACGTCGATGCCGATCACGCCGGCGACACTGACAACAGACGCTCACGCACCGGCTACGTCTACCGCCTCGAGCCTATCGGTCCTATCTCCTGGCAGTCAAGCAAGCAGGAGTTAATCGCGCTATCTTCAGCTGAAGCAGAATATATCGCACTCTGCTCAGCCACCAAAGAAGGACTCTATCTTCGCGAGCTACTGGAAGAAGCGAAGTTAGCCGAGTTACCCAACTTTAACGTGTTCTGCGACAACCAGTCAGCAATTCGCATCGCCAACAAGAACGGCTTCGCGAACAGGACGAAACATATTGCCCTACGTTACTTCTTCGTGAAGGACGAGATCGAGAAGGGGAGACTCGAGCTGTCATACTGCCCCACATCCGAGATGGCAGCTGACTACTTGACCAAGAAACTCGGAAAGCAAAAGTTCGAGTATTGCATGCTGCTGACTGGACAGGGCCACGTCACCAGCAGCGACACTCCAGAAGCGAAGGGGAGTGTTGGAAACAATAAGACCTAAGCGCTTCAGTCGTGTCGAAAACACCGCATCAGAAGCGAGGCAAACTACACCGAAGCACCCGCGAGTCAACCCTCGGGGGTTGAAGAGGTTGCTGGAGGTTACGCGAAGGTCAAAGGTCGCTGACCTTTGACCCGACAAGTACAGCGCGACAGTTAAGGACATACAACTGACTCGTTACAGAGCAGTTGCCCGAGTCGTACTGTATCGAACCGCAACAGCAACAGTAAAAGTAGTTATAACCGTATCCTTTGACATTCCTTACACCACTATATATTCTTGTACTTTCCTGTTATAATTAATCTACTTTGCCCTCACATACTAGCGCAAGGTGGTTCAAAATTACTTCACTAAAAGCTTCCGCTATTACAATTGTCCTACCCAGAGTTCTCCCCTGAAAAGATCCTAAGGGGCTATCCCAGCCCAACATTCTCCGCGGGGGGGTACTGTATCCGGGAGATTACGGTATACCGTAGGTTCTGCTGCAAACACTTCACTTCGAATCTGATAGGGGGTGGCAATAGGGTAACCACATAGTAGATACACCCGATACATGTACAGTAACCACATTATAGACATTCTAAAATTACTACGAAGCCACTTCCTAGCCAAGCATGCAGTAAGTACATAGTACTTGCAAAGTGTTGTTACAGGAAATTCAGGCATAGCATTTATGCAATTCATTCAACGATTCCGCTTATGAGATGTTTCCAATAAATGTATAGAACGTTACAAATAGACATACTAAAACAACCGACTTTGTAAACGCTCAGGAATAATCTACACGTGTGGTCCTACGAAGTGACCAAGCCTGTAAGCAACAAGGGACAAACGCATCCCTGCAAAACAAAAGTCAACAATCAACATCTTAGAAAGCGCAAGTACTTACTCGGGTTCAGCCACCACTCCCAAGAAAACAAGAAAATACCGGGACAATCGCGACACATACATTCAGCGTAGGTGTCCGCAGGACAGACAACAGAAACAAGCGACACATACAAGGTTAGGAAAACAGACTTCAGAAACCATATGAACAATGCTTACTACTAGTGTTCGCCTGCGAAATCGCGCAACATATATGAACCGTCAGTGTTAGGACATAGGAAGACAGGCGCCACCAACACATAACAAGAATCGTTAGCGTGGTTAGGAAAACAAGAAATAACACCACTAAATCGTGAAATCGAAGCGACGGCGATAGTAACTGCGGAAGCAAGAACTACACTTACCCGACGCCTTACTCGTACAGGGGCGACAAACGCCTGACGGAAAATCGACCGCCGCTAGCACCTAGGAGTGAACCGCGCCGTGCGAACGACAGATTTACGCCAGGGATGTCGCGACATTGACGACTGAAGCGTGGTCTGGCAGGTGGAACTGAAGAGCAGGGAATGAAAGAAAAGTTGTCTGGCAGAAATGTGAGGAAACGAGAAGGTTGGGTGTTGGAACTACCCAGTTATGTGTGGTAGCGTTAGCCGAAATCTGTGTATGAACCAATCGGAAGACAGAGAGCATTATCTTCTGCATCTTTCGATCGTAGCCATCCAAGGATGAAGATCGATGGCTGAGATTCCAACCGTTGGCAACCACACTTATCTCTTGAAATGGTTTGAGGCAGGCGAGATCTCGACCATTCACTGCCTTAGAGATCTACGATGTAGATACCAACCTTACCTAACAGACCTCTGATCTAAACCGTTCAAATTTTTCAGATCAACGATGACCGATCGAACTTTTCAAACTTACAAAAATCAATCCAAACCGTTCACCACGGAAATCGACGGCTATTAGTAAATTTCATATGAGATGCTTGTGATCACCGTACCAGTCCTATTTTCCATTGGTCGTTGGGGTTTACAGCCTTGTCGTACTAGCAAAGCGTCACTAATTGTGTCAAAATATCCAGTGACGTAAAAGAGATTCTAAAAGATATTTACAATATACGTTTCGGCCAGTGTCGCAAACATTGTGCACACTGCACTGACAATATCGAGAAAATATTACTGTTCAGGCGGGGTAGGCTCAATGTGGTGACTTTGCAGGTGGTTGGGGCTTCATGCCATGTTGGGCGTTTGGTACGGGATGCGCTCATTGGCCGATGTGTCTGGTAGGTTCATTCGACTGCCAGCGTCAGCTGGCAGTCGAATCGAGTCAGCGAGCAGAACGCGGGCAAGAAAAAAATAAACCCCATCGCGACCGGCATGCGTTCGGGAACCTAAACCCTAAAATTTTAGGGTTTAGGCTCCCGAACGGCATGCGGTCGCGATGGGGTTTATTTTTTTCCTTGCCCGCGGTCAGCTTGCCAGCTCATTCCTCCAACACGAATCCTCCAACACGGGGAGTTGGAGGAAAGGTTTCCTCCAGCATCCGTATGTACTGGTTTGTAAATGTTCCCAAACCAGCAACATTGTATTCAGTCTGTTGGGTCCTAGGCTCGGCATGTGAGGTAGGTACGGAGCCTTACGAATTGCCGGTAGATTCATTGTATCGAGAAGGTAGCTACTCCAAGCCTAGCTTCGAAGTACCCACTTCCTTGCCCGATAGGCCAAACCCAATTTTTGCAATTTTGGGATGTCATTCTCCCCGCTGATATCCGCCAATAGAATCGTTAGAAATTGCTCCGGGGATCATTGCTCCGCCGATGGCTGGCAGCGCGAAAGGGGGGGGAGGGGGGAAGCAGGAGGGGGGGGGGGGGGAGGGGGAACAGAAGAAGACCCATTCCCACGAGTCGCGCGACCCATCTCTTCCCCCCCCTGCCCGCCTCCCCCGATAGAACACCACGACGACGCGTGCTCCCCCTCACCGCTCTCAAAGTCCCTCGCGTAACTCATCACCAATCAGAAGAACCCCCGTCCGTAACCGTCGTCCGGAACGCTTACGCGGCGCTGACACGTCAGAGGGCATTGAACCCGTCTTTCACCGCGGAGGGCGGCATGAGCCGCCCTTTTCACGGAGAGGAGGAGCTCCGCTTGTATGCCCCCAAGAGGAATCTCACGTATCTCTCTGCGTGGCTTTCACCCGCTTCATCCGCTGCACGCGCTTCACCCGCTGCACGCGCTTCACCCGCTGCACCCACTTCAATTTCTTACAAGTTGTAGTTCAGCAGTATGAATACGTGCTCACCGCGAACGCGATTTCCAGATCGCCTTATTTCAGAGTCCTCTTACGAATTCAACCCCACAGCAGGCCCGCTGCAGCTCAAGCCATATCAGATCCCCCGTCTCTCCCGGTTTCGACCACTAGCGATCCCACGCCCGTTTCAAGCACCTTCTGCTTTCAACTAGCAGTAGCAATCGCGATCGCACGCCCGATTTCATCCATCCATCAATCTCGTTCAAAGTCGGAATCATGTCGACCACGCCGCGTCGCGCGCCGTCGACCAGCTCCGCCGCGACGCGGCGAGCTCGGGGCGGCGCAAACCCTAGTCCCGGCGGCTGCGGAGAGAGTCGTTATTGGCTGGGCCGCGGCGCGGCGCTGTCGCTGAATTCGCGAAGGTCTTTGGAGATTCATCTCGACGCTGCTGCTGCTGGCTGCGACGGCGGCGCGTCTTACTGCAGCGCCACCGCCTCGGATGCCACCGTCACATCCCCGTTCTCTGCTGGCCGTGGGGCTACGGATTTCACCATAATTAGCCCCACGACCACTCTTCACTTCCCCGCCTCCCCTTCCGTGGCGTTCTCATCCCCGTTCACTTCCGCCTTTCCTTCCGCCGATGGAACTTCCGCCTCCCCTTCCGCTTCCGCGCGGCGGCGCGCGTTCCCGATGTCTCCTTCAGCCGACTCCATTCCATGGCCGTCCGATGCCGCCGCGGCGCGATGCAGCGCAATCTACGCAGAGGATGCGTTTCCCTCGTTTAGTAGTGGTGTTGAGGGAGGAGCTGGTAGCAATAACGATACCGCGGCAGCGGACGTGGCGTTCGAGGATTGGTTCAACGAAGTAGAGGCGTCAATGGTTCACTCCACTACCCTAAACCCTCCACCATTGGCGCTGGCACTGGGGCGGAAGCAACGGCAGCGGCTGATGCGGCAGTGGTTCCACGACGCGCCTGATGGGCTCGTTTCGCCCCCATTCGCTGGAGTCAATCGAACCAACCAAGTCAACCGTGTCAACCAAGCCAACCGAGTCAACCAAGTCAACCGAGTCAACCAAGCCAACCGAGTCAACCAAGCCAACCGAGTCAACCAAGCCAACCGAGTCAACCAAGCCAACCGAGTCAACCAAGTCAACCGAGTCAACCAAGCCAACCCATTCGTCAACCAAGCTTACGATGCGTAGAATCTGTCAGAATCCCAGCCACTAACCACTGGGATAAAAGGGCTTGTTTGTATAGCGGGTGAGTGCGCCCATAACCCCCCAGGCCGACATGCCTGTAACCCTTCCCTAGGATCATCGGGGATCCCCAGTGGACCTCTGACACCCCCCCGCACTGGGATGCCCGAGGTGCACACACCGGGAATCGAACCCGAGACCTTCGCTCTGATACCATGTCAGAATCCCAGCCACTAACCACTGGGATAAAAGGGCTTGTTTATATAGCGGGTGAGTGCGCCCATAACCCCCCAGGCCGACATGCCTGTAACCCTTCCCTAGGATCATCGGGGATCCCCAGTGGACCTCTGACAGAATCTTCAACAGGATCGATGCAGTCAACGCAGTCAATAGACTCAATGCACTCAACCCAACAACCACTGGAGGAAAGTCAGCGGCAGCCGAGATTGCTGCCTGCAAGAGCATCTGGAAGGCCGCGTTTCAGGCGTGCTCTCCTTGCCATGGGCATGTCCCTGTCCTGATCCCCCTTCTCTTGATCTCCCTGCCCTAATCCCCCTGCCCTGACCACCCTGCTTTGATCCCCCTGCCCTGTTCCCCCTGCTTTAATCCCCTGCCCTAATCCCCCTGCCCTGATCCCCCTGCTTTGATCCCCCTGCTTTGATCCCCCTGCTGTGATCCCGCTGCCCTGTTTTCGCTCCTGTGTTCCTGCCCCTAACTCTTATTCTTTCTGCTCGTCCTCATCTTCGGCGTCTTTGCTCTCCTTCCCTTTCCGCCCTTCCTCCTGCCTCGTGCCTACCCAACTATGCAGAGCGCTGCTGCTGACGTGGAGCCAGTGCGGTATGAGGTGGAATCACAGAGGAACTCAAGGGCCACATCAGCTTCTTTCGCATCTACCGACTGCTCTGCTGCTGGCCTGCTTCTCGCACGCCATCGTGCACCCTATCGTCCAACCCGAAAAGCATCCTTGCATCAAATCATGCTCATAAGGAGGATACTGTAGGGTCCAATTTCAGTTGCTGGTGTGGCTGCTATGCCCACTCGGGGTGTTCCTTTTCGAGAGGTGGTGGGTACACCATTCTCCATGGCTCTAGAGAATTTTCCGAGTTGTACGACCAACCGTGAATGCTGTTACGGTATTGGGGTGCTGTCTTCGTGCTCTTCAAGATGCTCTGCCGCTCGCTCCCTTTCTTTGGCAAGAGCACGAGCAGCAACATAAGCAGCAGGTTTAGCACTGAGGAATGTGGAGGAAACCGAAACAGCAGCAGTGGCATGGTGTGTGGTGGGGGTTGGTGGAAGCGGAGAGGTGATCCAGCCAGCCACAGCAGGTAGCAGCAGCTGTTGTGGGACTTGTGCTTGTTCTGCAGAGCGAGAAGGCATGCATGTCTTCAAGGCAATGAGTTGAACGTTATCTGTTTCTTTCCCCATGCTTGAAACGTTGAAAGGCAAAAAATGCATCACCACCACGCTATTTAAATGATAATATAATAATATTGAGTTGACAAATGATTTGTAAGGCAGATTCGAATCTATGTACTACAGATACAGTAACTAGCGTTCTTGAACGCTAGCTCAGATGTGTCCAGAGCAAGGAAGCAGCAATCGCACTGAAACGTCGCCATGCATCTCGCTGATGCACGAATGTAGAAGGCGCGCGATAAGGGCGCGCGTCCTTGGGGCCAATCTGAAATGTTCATGTTTTTTAGCTCGAGCTTATCAATGTGAACACTGCTCGAGCTGCACTCGATATTTTCAACTTGACAGCTCGGGTCGCGTGCAGGGCTCTCGCTAGGTTTTAGGGCGTGTTCCTACGGCCCCTTATCGGGCCCACCTCCTATCAAGCTCGCGCCAAAACACACTGAAAATTCCCTAAACTCGCTACTTTTACCAGGCAAGGCTGACAAGAGGTTTGCCTGATAAGAGCGTAGGAACACGCCCTTAGGCCCGTCTGGAAACCCTAACAAAAAAAAATCGTTTCGTCTGACGCTTAGACGGGAAAATTTCGCTGGTCTGTTTTTCAAGATGAAAGTTCATGGCATGTCTGAAATTTCATACGGATTTTTTTTCCACATCTGATGTGGCAACTTGCAACTTCATGACGCAGCAGCGCGTTAGCTAAACACTACCAGGCAGAGAGGTGAGGGACTAGGAGGGGTTGGGTTACGAGGGAATTGGCTTGGAGTTGTGGGAGTGGCTCGGTTGAGTGTGCGGGAGTTGGGAGCGAAGAGCTGGGCTGGATGTGGCGCAAGGTAGTTGGAAGAGGTGATGGAGGCTTTGGGCTGGGCTGTTAACAGGGAGGGGACTTCGGGCTGGGCTGGAGAGGCGACGGGGCCTTCGTGCTGGGCTGGTAGACGGGGCTGGGCTGGGCTGGGGTTCTGGACTAGCGGAATTCTGACGACGAATCTGCCGAATCTGACGACCTATAGTCAGAGGCCAGGTTTGTCGGTATCAGACGAAAAGATCCTCGCTATCTGAAATTTCAGATGAAGTATAACGCGTGCTCTAAAAAATCAGACGATATATAACTCTTCGTCTTATGGATCAGACGAAATAAAAAGCATTGTCTTACAAATCAGATGAAATAAGAAATGAAGGTCTGAAAATCAGAAAATCAGACCAATTTGGTCTGATAACGAGAGCCCTGGTCGCGTGTCCACCTACTCTTAGAATCTAGGCATGAGTGAATGGACTATCGAGAGGATTGGTACAAGGTGAAAACGCAAAGGGGTTGTACCCCACATAATCTAGCCCACTACAGCCTACCACAAATACAATATATGCATATTTTTGACATACCCCCATAGGCAAAGTGGGGGAGATCAAGAGGTTACAAGACCAGTCAAGAAAAGCAAAGCAAGCTCAGGGTGGATCACAACGTCACCACACACACTGAGCACAAGCAAAAGGGCCACAAGGCCAGTTCACATGCAGGGGTATATATGCAACAAGTGTTAGAATCTAGCAGCAGGAATGGATGAACTAGCAGCATGATGGGTACAAGTAGGAAACCCTAATTTGGGTTGTACCCCATATGGGCTACCCCACTACAGCCTACACAATAAGCAGCATATATGTTTGACACACCCCCATAGGCAAAGTGGGGGAGAACAAGGGTCACACGACCAGTCAAGAGAAGCAAAGCAAGCTCAGGGTGGATCACAACGTCACCACACACTCTGAGCACAAGCAAAGGGCCGCAAGGCCAGTTCACATGCAGAGGTATATATATATGCAACAACAATAGAGCAGTGATCACAACCTAGTAAGAGCAAGCATGCAGGTATATATATATATATATATATATACATATATATATATATAGATCACAGTACAACCAAAGACTACAGCAAGTGTGGAAACGTAGGCACAAGGCCTAACAGGGTACAAAAGCGCTGATGATCACCAGACGGAAGTGCCTTGGTGAATATATAAGCAGTGTTGGCCCGAGTGGCCACGTGACGAAGACGAAGCTGACCTCGCTGCTGCAACTCTCGAGCCAGGAAGTAACGCAGAGCGATGTGCTTCGTTCTGTGCTCCAGTCTGTGCTCCTCACACAAGGCAATGGCCGCCTTGTTGTCAACGTACAGAACTGGAGGAGAACGAGGCCGCTCACCCAAGTCAGTCAGCAGGTAGGTAAGCCAGCGTAGCTCCTGTGCAGCCATGGCGGTGGCGTAGATCTCAGCCTCACAACTGGAGCTGAGAACAGAAGACGAGCGTGTAGACCGCCAAGAAACAGAGCCAGAGCCAAGGCTGAAGGTGTAACCCTGTGACGACCGCTGTGTAGTCTGGTCGTCAACCCAAGACGCGTCTGAGTGCCCAGTGAGGACCACCTCACTCCGTCCTCCAAGCACGAGCCCCATGCCTGATGTGCTGCACAAGTAGCACAACACCCTCTTGGCAGCATCCATGTGCACCTTTCGGTGCCTGCCAGGAGCCACGTAACGAGCCAAAAGGCCAAGAGGGTACGCAAGGTCAGGTCGAGTGCAGGTCATCAGGTACATGAGGCAGCCCACTAGCTCGGCGTAAGGACCACTCGGCTCTACGGACTCGTCCGAAGGTGGAGCTGAGAGCGAGTGACCTGTAGCCAGCGGAGTGGGCTGTGGGGAGGACCAGGTGAAGCCGAAGCGCTGAAGGACCTGCTGCACCATGTGTGACTGAGTCAGTGTGATGGTGCGGCGTGCTCTGTCCCGGGTGATCTGCAAGCCAAGGTAACTGTGCAGCTCACCCAGGTCAGTGCACGTGTGTCTCTTCTGCAGCTCCGACTTCACCAGTGCGGGAGCCTCAGTGTCAGCAGTGGCAAAGACCAAGTCGTCGACGTACACGAGGATGTAGAACGGCGGCCGGGAAGTGTCGGTGCGCAGAAACAACGACGGGTCAGCAGTCGAAGGAGCGAACCCAAGAGCCGCAAGTGTAGTCCTCAGTGTGTCGTGCCACTCATGAGGCGCCTGGCGGAGACCGTAGACCGGCCGCCGGAGGCTCCACTGGGTACCAGGAGGGAACGACCCAGTGAAGCCAGGTGGGCGGCGCAGCCAGATCTCCTCGTGCAGGCTGCCCTGTAAGAAGGCTGTGCTGAAGTCAAGAGAGTGAAGCTCGTAGTCACGCTGAGCGGCAACGTGCAGCAGCACCTGAAGAGTGGTCATCTTCGGGGTAGGGGAGAAGGTCTGGAAGAAGTCAACTCCCTCACGCTGACTGAAGCCTCTGGCAACGTAACGAGCCTTGAAGACAGGCGGAGAACCCGGCGGCCGCTTCACCCTGAAAATCCACATGCCATCGACGATGTTCGCCCCAGGAGGGGGAACCTCATCGACGTAAGTGCCTGTGGACTTCCAGGATGCCATCTCTGCGTCCATGGCTGTCTGCCACTGAGAGGAGTACTCACCCGCGATCGCCTCAGCGTAAGAGCGCGGGGTCGGGATGTCTGGAGCATCCGGGTCTCCCTCAGGGGCAAGCAGCATGGCCACGAGATGAGGCGCAGCAGCCGCAAGACACTCAAGGTCCTCGTGCCTGTC